GACGCCCCCCCCATCACCACAATGACACTCGGGGTCATCCTGACCTGTCCCGGCCTCTGGTAGATGACTCCAAATTTGAAGTTATTGCTGATGACGTGTTCATCAAACGCCACGATGAGACGCGAAGCCTGGAGGGGGAGACAACCAAGAATCCGTCACAATCCGGAGCAGCGCAGTGCAGTCACTATGCTGGGCCCCTCCCCCACCCCAAAAATCAATACAATTACCCGAGATCTATTCTCGTATCGTCCGTATTATTGTGGGAGGAGCCTGGTGGGGATCGGCCTGCCGTGATTGGTCATGTTGCGATAGGCGGCGCTAAGGGGCAGTGAATGTGATATCCCCCCCAGATGCCCACTGCGGGTGCATGTGAATGTGTTGGGGGCGAGCAGAGGGTTAACCCTGGCACATGGCGTGTGGACGTCACGGACGGGGGTGTGGCGTGTGATACCAGAGATTGCATTGTGTGACGCTTTGTATCATGTTCATCCTTCGCTCGGGTTACCGCTCACCTTGGGGTAGAGCACGGGGTGAAATCGATCCACGTTCACGTCTTCACACACCAGCTGGGAACAGACACGGAGCAAGGTGAGAAACAGTGTGACTCCGCCCCCACAACCCTAAACCCCGCCCACCGCAATGACATCACCGCGCTGCCGCCATCAGCCAATCCTCCCTGGAGATGAGACTCGGCATGAGGGGACCGCCCCCCAGCACCATGAGAATGAATCACTGCTGCAGGCTGACGGAACCCGCAGGACAGAGATGACACACCTTCTAATAATATAACGTTATACATTGTATCAGATTATGGTCTGTGAAATCTCCCGTCGCTTCCTGTCCCGGTGACACCCGTAAAAGGAAATGAAGGGAGCGTGGTCACCGGGACAGGAAGACTCGGATCTTCTGCCCCTCCCTCTTTGTAGGATTATCGTGTCCGCTGGCTCCTCCCGTGTCTGATTAGAGGCGGAGTTTCTAGGGGCAGTGTGTCATCTCGGTCCCCTCACTCCTTTATTCTTCCCGAATCCGATAACGCGGATCGGGTGGCGGATCCGGGGAGGACGGAGAACTCACCTTGGCCATCTGCACCACGTTGGGGAACTCGGTCAGGCAGGAAATGGGGATCACGTCGTGGTACGTCTGGCACTTTGTCCTGGGGAATGCAGAAGAAGAGGACAGAGATGACTATATACAATGACTGTATGGGAGGAGCATAGAAAGACTTGGCTGTGAGGCAGAGCCGGGGGGAGGGGAATGACATGGCTGAGAGGCAGAGAAGGCAGACCCGGGGGAGGGGGGTAGAAAGAG